GTATTATTATATGTAATAATGATTGTTTACCAACTGAAAAACCCTGTGGATGCTAAATGTGCACTTGGGACTAGAGTGTCAGTAACATAAAGAAAAGCTTGTTTAAGTGATCTGCAAGGCAGGGCCACAGCTGTAACTTTGCCTTGGCAGAAGCTATCAAGTAAATAGCATGATCTTTTCAAACAGAGCCACATTATTTCCTTCATGGCATTTGTAATTTGTTAAAACTCTCACTGTGCCATGCCTTTCTTCCTAATAACAATGGCAAATGGCCAATCTCAGTACTCATCTCTTGCATACACAGTCCCTCTATGTGTATTTGATCTATTTTTTAATCTTCAAAGGAGGTATATATTGAAGAATGTGCTGAGCTGTGAACGATTTAAATAGCATACCGCTACTGCTAAGATATGACTCCTAAGGCTGTGATGCAACACAAAAAAAGCAGGATAAAACAATTTTGTTTCAGAGTGCAGTAACAATAGTCCAGGTGAAAATATCAGCTGCTGGCTCTGTTTAAAAAAAGGCCATGTTTCAGAACTGCTGATATTTGATTTTATTAGATACTACATCTGGTGTTTATAGCTTGGTCTTATCTGCCAGAGCCCCCAGGAGCACCAGTCTGGGAGCACAGCCAGTGTCTACCAACTTAGTGTTGAAACAGAGATCCAATAGCTTTCTAATTTTGAACTCAAAGTCAGATTTTCCAGCAACTTTGTTTTACCTATTGCTTACATGTAGATAGATTGAAACAAAGTCCTTTGATATGATACATAATCAAAATTTGTATTTGATATAGTTTCTTTTAATCATGGCTTTTTCATAGTAAAATGATTTAGACTATCTGGACATTTCTGTATATGCCATATAGGGGAAATCTGAAGTGAGACAAATGTAATAACTTTCCATTTTCCATAGCAAATTAATTTTCAGAACAAGTCAGAGATTTAAAATGATCTGGGTAAACTATACTAAACAATACATATTATTTTAAGCCTATCTCATATCTGTAAACATTTTATCCTAGTATGATGGTCCCCTCAGGTTTCTGCTTATTAAATCTTTCACATGTGGCTAATGATCAACATTTAAGATGTTTGTGCATTGCAAAACATACTATTTAAGATACAAAGACCTAGTGTTAAATGCACAAAGAAGCAAAATCTATAGGAGGAAAACCAAATTTAATTGCTTTCAATAAAAGGTGAAAGAAAAGGTAACACATTCTATATAAGACAATACTGTCTACAATTCACATAGCACAGTAACAATATTAGTAGTTGTGAAAGTACTGCTCACAGAACCAAGAGGACTTTGTACACAATAACAGCCACATTATGCAATGACTAAGATTGTTAAACTGAACCCTTCTCAGCATTACAAGGATCTAAGACATCTCCAGAGGCCTTGGGATGGAAAATGCTGTCCACATCCAAAGAAAGAACTATGGAAGTCCAATCACTATCATTTATTTTTACCTTCTGTTGAGTTTTGTTTCCTCTTTCTGATGGTTCCTCCTATTGGTTTTAATTTTTACTTACAACTTCACTAATGTGAAAATATGTTTAATGGGTATGTAAATGTAAAGTCTACATCAGATTGTGCGCCATCTTGGGGGGGTGGGGGGGTGGAAGGGGGAGAAAAATTTTCAACTCAAAAGCATATGGAAGTGATTGTTGATAAATCAAAATAAATTAATAAAAAAAGTTAAAATAAAAAAGAAAGTACCGCTTACAATAAAAATATTACTTATGAAGATTAATTTTCTGGAATTAGACTTATAATTCATTTGGCAAAGCTAAACTTTTTTTTAAAGAAGCACTCTATTGATCTCTTTTCCTCAACTCTAGAGCTATTTTTCACATAGTTTTATACACAGGAAAAGCTTAGCAACTGATTGATACAGAAAGTGAACAGCATGGTAGGTAAGTGCAAGATACACCACAGATCATAGAACTTATAACACAAAACATTTTAAAGGGAATAATTTTCTAATAAAATGTTCAACGGGAAAGTCTTTGAAATCAAAGCATTAAAGAGGTTCTTAAACCACCCAATGTGGTGTGAAAAAGATTTTTATCCTAACGTGGTTTGACTGTGTCTATAATTCATAACCTGACTTACAAGTCTTTGTATAGGGTTGTGAATAGCAAATATTTTGCCAGTGATTTAAAGTGTTGGTAATTATCTCTTGCTAATTTGAAGAAAATATTTTGAGGCAACTCAAGATGATTGAGAGCCATTATAATGTGTATGATGTGAATAACATTTAAAGGCATTTTAATAAATATATTCAAATTAATTTCAAAACTAACCAAGATTCTACAAAATGTTTAACAGTCCATTTTATAGTTATAGTTGGGAGATACAGTCATACTTTAATGTTACCCTTCATTTAACTTAAAAAATATTAAAAGTGTTTGTCTTCATTTTAGCATTATCTCTATAGTAATGAATTGGGAAGTCACAATTTCAGAGCTGGAAAGAGATCATTGAGGCAATTTAGTCCAATCTTCTCATTTTATAGATGAGAAACTGAAATGCTGAGACTCTAAGTGACTTGACCAGTCATTCAAGTAGTAAGAATAATAATAGGTAGCCTTTACACAGCTTTTCATGTTTGCAAAGTACTTTACAAACACTATTTCCTTTTGTCCTCACAATAACCTTAGAAGGTAAACCTTGTTATTATCCCCACTTTATAGATGAGGAAACGGAGAGAAGTTAAATAACTTCCTCAAGATCACACAGCTAGTTAGTATTTGGAACAGGATTTGAATTCAGATCTTCCTTCCTCCAAGTCCAATGCTTTGTTCGCTACACCACTTGGCTTCCTAACAACAGAGCTGGGATCTGAAGGAATGCCCTCTGACACACAGCATCAAGATACTATTAGGAGACACTCTGTTTTCCAGAGCTAAGGCCCAGCAAGCAAGCTGTTCCCTGAGCTTGGCATAACAACAATCCTTTGTGCTTACCCTCTGGATGAACACTGCTGCAGTAATTAAATCACAGAACTGATGGTCCCTGACTTTGGCAAGCACCAGCAAGCCAGACATGAAGCCCTGCTATGAATGGACTTTTTATCACTAGAAAACTTTGCCTCACTGTTGCTGTTATACCTCACTACCATAGCTACACTATACTGTTTGCCTTTGTCTAGCTACAAATATATAAATCAAGGTTTAGCCACACTAAAGCGGGTTCTCCCACTGGGAGTGGGGAGGAGGTGGGGGGTTATGGCAAATATGTCCATTTTCCTACCTAGCTTGCAAGCCATTTCCCTTACTTTGAAATTAAACTTGTTTTATTCCTTACTGTCCTGTCTCTAATTTGCTCTGTTCAGTTCTGGCCATCTACAGGTTAGAGGCCAGTTCAGTCCAGTTGACAATATTTACCTACTGTACCATATTGCTTCCCCAGGGGTAAAAAAGATTTTTATCTACTACATACTGCTTCTTGGCATTGGTATTTTCATTATACCAAATAACCTAAATAATATTTGAAATTTAAAGCCAGTTTTACTTTTAGAGCAGGATTTCTTAATCTGAAGTCTGTAAATCTGGTTTTTAAAAATATTTTGGTTACTGTCTTACATATTGTAAGATATAGGAGTGCTACTGGTTTTTCCCATGTAGGTTATATACGTCCACATAGTTTTGCCTAGATATGTTTCTATGGGAGGAAGAAATAAAAATTTCTAGTGTCTTCCCCTCCCCCAATATAAAAGTAGACAAAATTATATTAATAAACTAATAAATACTATTAATTGAGAGGAAACAACTTTTAGGCTTAAGCTAAGATCCTGATGACCATTCATTAATTGGGAAAGCAGGGTCTCAAGCTTTACAGCCAAGGCTTGACTCTCTTTCCACCAAATGCCAGTCCCATAATGAACAAACAGCATATAAACCCATTTATCCAACTTGATATCCAAACAGAAATCAGAGGAAGTAAACATAAGAGAATATATGCCATATAATATAGATTGAATGAGCACTTCCTTTGGGAGCCATATAACTAACTGAGTTCAACTGAGAGAGACATAGATGTTACCCAAGGGGAAATTCTCTAAAGTCTCTAGTGTAGTAAGATGGAAATAGAGATATGACTGAAGTTCTACATGCTGTCTTCTCAGAATCTTTTTCCCTTCATGGATTTGAAGAGGGTTTGGAATTGCGTATCTTCTTTCTCAAAGCTAGAAGCCAGAGGAGCCAATCTCTGTCAATGAGAGACTTGTACAAATGGCCCCATAAGTCAAATGTTACAAAGGTTTCCTTTGTAATCTTATGTATTTTATTTTAAGCATTTAAAAAAGGGTTTCATAGGCTTCACCAGAATGCTAAAAGGTCTATTACACAAAAAGATCAGAAATCCTTGTTTTAGAGTAACATTAAAATTTATTAATATATAGACTAATACAGTATTATTGCCTATATAATAGGCAAATAAAGAGAAAGCTCTGACAGTGGCCTCAAAAGACAGTGGAAATGAAATTTTGGTAAATAGTTCTTTTATACCTCAAAATGTTGAGCAAACAGAATTCTTATTAATTATTGTAATACAATTTCCCCCTAAAATATTAAGAGTACTGGAAGGTAGTAATTATCCCCTCTGGACAGCAACATTGGCATAGGAAAGCAGGAAATTAATTTGGTACGGTCACTGACCCTTCTGGGAATACACAGGCAAACGTTTCCCCTTCTCTTTCCCCCATCGTTTTCTTATTCTTTATGTGAACAGATGTAGCAAGGTCTCATGATTAAAAACATTTGCAAGCTTTTTTAATTACTCCTATCCCCAGGGCTTAGAATAGAGCCTGGCACATAGTAGGTGTTTAATAAATTCTTGTTGACTGACTGCAATAATAACTTCCCCCCATTCCTAGATTTTTGTTCTATCCTTTTATTTTCACATGATTATTCCAGTACACTCCCCAGGGGGCCATTCCTTCCCTGGAGGGTCCCGGATCTCCCAGAGGCCTGTGCGGGATGAGGCCTGTCAGCCTGCTGCTTCTCCAGGCCCCAAGGATGGAGGATGGGGGGGCGGGGCACGGGCGCGTCCGGCCCCCTCCTCCCCGCCCCTTCGTGCCTTCCAGGGCTCTGGCTCTGCTCAGGAGGTATTTTCCAAGGCCTGCCACCTTGGTTTTTAGGAGGCTGTATTGGGCTGCAGTCTCTCACCCCCGCTGGGCTTATGAGGGGGCATTTGGTTAGGGAGTGAAACTGGTTACTGCACAGGCCTCTGGGGAACGACCCAAGGCCTCTCTTATCTCGCCGGTAGCTAAACTTAGGGCCTGCGTGTGGCTGCGAGAGGATCATGTCTCTGGATCTCAGTTTCCCTATCTGTAAAGCAAGGACGCAGGACTAGAGGACCTCTCAGCGATAGTAAACGCTAAGGCTAAGGCCACCCGACCTCAGGCCCAGGAGGAGGGCGGGCCCTAAATGCGCAAGCGCCTGGGTCAGCCTGTGGCCCCGCCCTGCCAGTGTTGCCATAGGAACCACTGCCTGTTGGGGTGGGGGAAGGGTGGAGGCGAGGGCTCCACTGGGAGCTAGGGTGGGTGGGTTTCAGGGCCCCTAGGGCGAAGCCATGGAGCTGCCCGATCCCGTCCGGCAGCGACTGGTAAACTTCAGCAGGACAGTGTTTACCGACACAAGCCGAACCGGCCCGGAATTCATCGGCCACCCCGGTGAGTGGCGAGGGCCTGGGGAAAAGGGGCTGTGGGCAGTGGGTGGGGAGAAGGGGGCGGGAAATGACGTTGGGAATGTTGCCCACACTTAACATGGCGGCTCGGTCTTCCACGGTGTCTGGAGGGGTTGGGGGGAGGGGTCCTTCCCGCCAGAACCCTTCCCGGTCTGTTGGTAACGGTGCTTGGGACTACCTGAGACCCCTTTACTGGGAGAGGAGTGAATTAATCAATCAATCAGCTAATTAATGATGCCCTATGGTAGATACAGTCTAGTGGTACCCGACTCCCCTCCCCCGCCTTAAGAAAGAGAGCGAAGACTTCCAAGTTCAAGTTCAAACAGTGTGCCCAGTGCTTCCTGCTGACCCTTTTTTAAGACTAGAAATTACCGAGGAGTTACATGAACACAGATCCTTAGAGGAAGCTCCCCACACCGATGAAACCATAGGGATGAGCCAAAAAGAAAAGAAAAATCTCGCATCTCAAAAATCTCAGCTCTGTAGGCGGCCCTGCTAGGTCGCTCTCCGTATTTTCACACAAAGCCTAGGGTGAGTGGTCTTGGGGGAGGGGAGGAGCATGCGGATGCCTTAGACAGGGCCGAGCTTGGAGCCTGGAAGACTGGAATTCTCTGCTTGCCTTAGTCTCCTCAACCTTGCGGCTCAGTCCTGTCTGACTCTTCCTTGGCAAAGATGCTGGAGCAGTTTGCCGTTCCCATCTCCAGCCCATTTTACAGATGAGGAAACTGAAATAGACTGGGTTAAGTGACTTGCCCAGGCTCACGAGGCTAGGAAGTGTCTGAGGCCAGATTGAAACTAAGAAAAATGAGTCTTCCTGACTCCAGGCCCAATACTCTGTCCACTGTGCCCCCTAGCTGCCCTTTCTCAACCATAAAGCGGGGATGATAATAGCAACTACCTTCCAACCTTGAAACTGTTTTTTTTTTCTGCATCATTTCTGCTTTAACAATTTGATACCAGGGGCAGCTAGGTGGTGCCGTGGATAGAGCAGCAACCCTGGAGTCAGGAGGACCTGAGTTCAAATCCAGCCTCAGACACTTGACACTTATTAGCTGTGCGATGGGCAAGTAACTTAACACCATTGCCTAGCCAAAACAAAACAATTTAATACCATTTAATTCTTCATTTTAACTAGAAAACAACACTTTTGACATTTTCTACTTCAGTACCTGAAGAAATCAATATTTCTAAGTTTTTCTCATCAGAGATTTTTAGCACCATGTATCTTTGTCCTAGCAACTACCATACAGGCCCTAAAAGGGATTAGATAAGCTTGTTGATTTATCTCATAGTAGTTTTAACATCTTAAGGCACTTAATATCATTAGTACATGGAGTTTTGCAAGAACCGAAGTTCAGAAAATATTTTATTGTTAACAATAGAAGCATTATTGTTTATTTTAATATGTTGTTTATAATTATTTAAAAGGTTCCGCTATGGAAATCCGCTGTGGTATAGAGGATATGGAGCCAGGCTTTGAATCAGGAGGACCTGGGTTCAAGTCCTACCTACTAGCTTTGTGACCTGGGGCAAGTCATCATCCTAAATTCTCAGTGCCCCAAGAAACTCTTTAGACTTTAACCTGCAGATCAGAAGCTAACTTAGCATTGCTAGAGGAAATTTCCTCACTAGGGGTTCCTTATAGCACTAAAATGATAAATACAATCTTCTCCCTTGCCCCCCCCCAAATAGAGATATAATAGAAGGGTAATACTTTATTTAAAATTTTTTAAACCTTTGGAATGTTAAACAACTAAAGAATATGGATTATTTCAAAATATGTACCTTATGCATATGAAATTTGGCCTCATGTTATTTTGGAACTTGTTTAACTTTGTACTTTAATTCATGGGGTCTATGTTGCCTCCTTTAGGACTTCTATTTACAAAAATGAAAAAATACTGTATCATAATCTCTAGTGATTGTAGTAATTTCTTGGCAGAACAAACTTATGATTGGTATGGTCCTTATGACAATATGGCAATTGTGTTAGAGAGACATTGAATCCGATGATGGTGTGCATTTCTCACATTTTTTTTCCACAGGCTGCAATAAAAGCTACTAATTATAATTATCTATTATACACTGAGGCCACACATTGTCTACATGAACAGTGAAAGACCCAACAGACAGTAATTAAAAAGTGATAATATACTGAAAGACACATTATTCCTTTTCTAGTCACCAAAAATTGCCAGTCTACAGAACTGAACCCAGTGTTTTTTATGTAGTAGATGCTTAATATGTATTTAATTAATATTAAGGCCAATATTCCTTCTTCTGGTAGTGGTTCTAAATTAGTACAAAATTTGAATTTTAAAAATCATGACTCCAGTTCTTCTTACTGTTCCTTGTGTTAATAATGTGAATTTTGAGGAGTAAAAAGGATATTTCTGAAATAATTTCTGAAATATTATAATTGAGAGTTGTTTGGGCTTTTTTTTTCTCCTTTTTCCTTCCTTTCTCCTGCAGATAATGAAATAGTCTCCAGTTTGGCATTACAGATGTCTCTTTATTTCAACATTTACTTCTTTCCATTTTGGTGGGTGTGTAATATCATCATGCTCCAGCTGAAGGTGAGTATAAAATCTGATTGCTTATGCCTAACTTTCTCATGCATTTCTTTTATATCATTATGTTGTCAACGAGATAAAAGTCTGCGTCCTTTATTCTAGCCTGGAATGTCATTGGCTTCTGTGAGTCAGCTGTAGTATTGCTGCCAGGATGATGTGAAATAATAGTAACATGTTCTCATTTTGGCTTTGTCTGCAGTATCCCATCTTGCCTGATTATTATAAATTCATTCTAGTCACCGTCATTATACTAATAACCTTAATTGAGGCCATCCGGTTGTATTTAGGATATATGGGCAACCTACAGGAGAAGGTAAGATCCTGTTTCATATTGTTAGTCTTATAACCAGTGCTATATTTGAATGCTGTTAGACTTTCTACTTTGCCAATAAAATATTATTTCTACACCAAATGGAATCTTTGGAACCTGAGTTGAAAAAGGAAGAGAAAAAGATGTCATCAGTTTTTCCCTCCTTATATGTATAGATTGTACTCTAACTCATTCTAGATGAATACTTTCTATCCCATAAAAAAAATAATATTGGGCATTTATAAAACAATTTAAGTTTGACAAAGTCATTTACATAAAATAGCTTATTTGATCCTTACAAAAGCCCTATAAAGTATTATTATCAACATTTATGGATGAGGAAAATGAGGCTCAAGTTAAATGACCTGCCCATGATCACAAAGTTGCTAAGTGTAAGCAGCAAGGCCTTTACTGAATCTATTGCTTTTCCTGCAACTTCTTCTTTGTGATTCTATTACTATTGGATATAGATTTATTTTAACTTTTGTGCTGTTTTGAGTCTTCTCACATTGTTCAGTTTCCTTAGCTTTATCTTCCCCAATGAATTGGCAGTTCCTTTAGGGCAAGTTCCCTCTCTTTACTACATTTTATCCTCCATCTTGCCTAACAGTGCCAGGCCAGAGTAGGTTCGAAATAATCACTTATTGACTCATTGTGGCTATAGCCTTATTAAAATAATAAGGTCCTTGTTAACAATATTTTTACTCTTGCAGGTTCCTGAGTTGGCAGGCTTTTGGCTCTTGAGTCTTCTGCTGCAGTTGCCCCTCATTCTCTTCTTGCTCTTTAATGAAGGTCTGACAATTCAGCCTCTGGAACGAGCAGTCAACATCATCTTCACCATCTTCCTTGCTTTCCAAGTTGTTGTAGCATTTCTTGCCTTGAAGAAAATGGCAAACCAATTAGCCGCCCATTTCCACCTCCAAGACTTTGACTATTTTGATAGGGAAAAGAGGATGCAGAGTTTTCCAGTGCCACAGTCAGAGGAGATTTATTCTACAGTTGTTGAGTAGGAGTCTGTGCTAGAAACAGGACAGATTGTACCAGAAGATACCAAGAGCTGGGGAAAAGATCCTGCTGGAGAAAAAGGACAGAGCAAATGCTGTACTGTATTTTTCTTACTAAGAGAAATTCTATGGCATGACAGAAGAGGCATCTCTAGTCAGGCTTTATGTCCACAATGCCAAAAACACAGGTGAAAAATGAAAACTAATTCTAAAATATAAGTTATCATTACAACTTGAAAATAGATTTTTTTTTAGTTAACATTTTTAGTCTTTCTCTTCCTGTATGTTTGATACATCATGGCTACAGCCTTAAAATAAAATCTGTATCATATCCTTTAGTAGTGGAAGGAAATATCTCTTAATAATCCATATTTCTATCATATTTATCATTTTAAGAGCTATTAGTAGTTTTGTGCTTTTCTTTGGGGTTTGTCATTTTCTATAGATACCTCTGTTAGCATTTATTTCATCTCTCTTTGAGCATCCTTTTTTTCTTGAAACATACAGAGAAGTGCATGTGTTTGTCAGTATTCTCTACTTTTAGAATATTGTAAGGAAGACTAAAATAGGATTTTTATGCCCAAAGTGGTGTTGAGTACTGGCTTTAACTCCCATTTTGCATGTAAGAAGTGCTTGGGGGAAAGAAGGCAGCACTAATACTGTAGAATGCCATTTGTGATAATATTGTTATTTTCTACTATATCTATTTTTTTATTTTGTCTAGTGTTGTGAAAATCTTTTCAAAATAATATATTTTTAAATATTCTTATATTAAAACATCAGCAAATATTTGTTCTCCTGTGTAATTCTTTAGGCCTTGAGATGTTGGTGACTTCTCTCATTTTTTTTCTTTTTATAGGCTAAGAACTCTGTTGTTAATGCATCCAGGATTGGTTAAGCCAAGGATTATTAATCTGGGATCTGTGAACCTTCAAAAACATGTTGATAAATGTATTTGAATTGGTTTCTTTTGTAATCCTATTTTATTTTATGCATTTAAAAATGTAATTCTGAGAAGTGTCCATAGGCTTCCCTGGACTAATGAAGTAGTCCATGACAAAAAAGGTTAAAAATCCCTAGATTAGTCCTAAATGAACTAATTTATGCTACATGAATAAGCAGGAAATTTGATTTGTGAACTAGGATATCTATCAATTTTTAGTTAAGTGAACCATGCTTATATGACTAAATCTGCATATTCACTTCTCACTAGAGGAAGCCTAAATCCAATTAATATCATAAAGTTGCTTGGCAACTATAAAACTAAAGAAAGGGAAATCGAATGATTTTAAAGGGGTATTATATTTTCATCAATGCTTTTATAAAAATATGAAGTTACCTTTCTCTATTAAAGGAAGCATAGCCTATTCTCTCTTTCAAAGACACGGTTATGGGGGCAGCTAGGTGGCGCAGTGGATAGAGCATCAGCCCTGAAGTCAGGAGGACCTGAGGACCTGAGTTCAAATTTGGCCTCAGACCAAACACTTGACACTTACTGGCTGTGTGACCCTGGGCAAGTCACTTAACCCCAATTGCCTAAAAAAAAAAAAGACACGGTTATGATTGTACTGACCAATTTTTCTTTTAAATTTTTTTTATAACTTATGCAAGTTCATTTATTTCCAGAGTTCCATTTCATTTGTTGTTGTATTTGATTCATGGTTTTCAATTTTTTTCCCTTCCACTAAACTTTAGAGTTTCTGGGTAGACTCTTTATATTAATTTTTTTTATCTGTGATTTTCTTTTGATATCAGTTTCACTTGTGTATTTTCCCCCTAAATTTTCCCTTATTTATCTTTGCTCTAATTCCTGAAGTTCATTTAAAAAATTTATTGTTTACATTATAGTTATTTCTGGAAATACTCTCCCTCTAGACTGAAAAAGAAAAACAGTTAAGCAAAAGCACCTGACACTGCATTTTACCCTGGTAGCCTTATTCCTTTACTGTGAGGAAGGATGTGTTTTATTTTCTCTTCTCTAGGACCATTATTTTTTCAATTACTCACGAGTTTGGCTTACTTTTAGTGACCTTTTCATTTATATTGTTATAGTCATTGTCAAATACTATCATATGGTTCCACATCAGCAACTGATATGATTTTATCAGTGGAAATAACATTAAAGAAGCGATATCACCAAAGCTGTACCCTAAGGACCATGGGAAGGGACCTTTATATCTGACTTGCAGCTGAAACCATCCATCTGTATTATCTCCCGCATTAAAATATAACCTCCTTGAGAGAAAGGCTGTCTTACTTTTCTATTTGTATCCACAGTTCTTTGCATGTAGTAAGTACATAATAAATGCTTTATTTATTGCATATTTTGACCTTTTGGTTCTATTTATTTTAATCTACATCAATTCAAGCAAATCTTCACACTATTCACATTTGTTATTTCTACATGATAGTATTCCATGCCATTCATTTGCTGTATTTTTTTTCCAGCCATTCTCAAATTGATGTTTTATTTCCTGTTCTTTACTAAAAGGGCAGTACTATAAATATTTTGGTATGTGTTGAACCGTGTTTTCTGACTTTGACCTCCTTGGGAGCATATGCCTAGTAGTGGCATTGTTGGCACTTAGTGACTTTTCTTACTTAATTCTAAATGTCAAGAAAGATTGAACCATTTCACAGTTCCATCATCAGTGTATTTGTGTGCCTGTCTGTTATGGTAAACACCGGAAGATCTAGTTCAAATGCCAGTTCTGGTGCTTACTGGTTGTGAAGGAAATGGCTGTTGTTCTTAGGTGTTTGAATCAGTTCCTTGTGTATGTTAGATATCAGAGCTTTTTTTTTTTATCAAAGGAACATGTTAAAGATTTTTTTCTCCAGTTAACTGTTTCCCTTCTAATTTTAACTACTTTGTTTATGCAGAAATTTCTGTTTTGTATAAACAAAATGTGTATTTTAGTTCCTGTGACGCTCTCTATCCTTTGTGTTATGAACTCATTCCCTATTCATAGTTGCAAAAGATATTTTCTTCCCTGCTCCTCTAATTTATAATGTAACCTTTTTTATCTAGTTCATGTATCCATTTGGACCTCATCTTGGTATGTGTTGTGAGTTCTTGATCTAAACTTCGTTTCTGCCAGGTTGATATCCATTTTCTCCAGCAGTTTTTGTTGAATAGTGAATTCTTAACCCACTAGTTAGTATCTTTGGGTTTTCTGAGCACCAGACTGCTGAGTTCATTTGTTTCTGTATTTTGTGTATTTAATCTATTGCACTGATCCACCTCTCCATTTCTTAATTAGTACCAAATCATTTTGATCATTTGTAGTACATACATGTATATGCACATACATGTAGTATATTTATAGTATCATTTAAGAACATTACTGCTAGACATTTTTTCCTACGTTTTTTCATTGTTTCCCCTGAAAATCTTAAGCTTTTGCTCTTCTAGATGATTTTGTTATTATTTTTATAGCTCTATAAAGTAATCCTTTAGTAGGTTTATTTGTGTGGCTCAGAATAAGAAAATCAATTTAGGTAGTATATTGGATTGATCCACTCATGAGCAGTTGATAAATCTCCAATTATTTAGGACTGTCTTTCTTCCCATAAGTGTTTTTGTAATTTTATTTATATAGTTCCTATATGTCTTAGCAAAGAGACTTCCAAGTATTTTATATAGTGTGTAGTTAATTTAAGTGGAATTTCTCTTTCTATTTCTCCCTGCTGAGTTTTGTTGCTAATATATGGAAATGATGATGATTTATCGTGTCTTGTTACTTTGAAGAAGTTATTTCAGTTGATTTTTTGTTGATTCTTTAAGCAAATCATAATTTCGAAAAGTAAAAATTTTGTTTACTCTTTTGCTTATTTACTTAATTTCTCTTTCTTATCTTTTTGTTAAATTTTTTTCATTTAACAAAAATTAATTTTTTTCCTCCCTTTCCCCATGTCACTCACCACCACTGGATGGGTGGGGAGGACTCTTGTTACAAAGATGCATAATAAAGAAAAAACAAATTTTTGTGTTGGCTGTGTCCAAAAAATATGTGTCTCATTCTGTACCCCAAATCCATCACCTTTCATTCAGGAAGTGTAGCATGCTTCATCATTGGTACTCTTGAAAAATGGTCATTGTATTGATCAAAGTTATTAAATCTTTCAAAATTGTTTGTTTTTACAAGGATTTTATCATATAAAGTGTTCTTCCAACTCTGCTCACTTCACTCTGCATCAGTTCATGAAAGTATTCCAAGGATTCACTGATTCAGACTTGTCTTTTCGTAATTTTTTAGGCACAATAGTATTTCGTTATATTCGTATACTGTGATTGGTTTAGCCATTCCCCAATTGATGGGTGCCCCTTTTATTTCCCAGTCTTTGATGCTATAACACGTATAATAAGAAATATAAAAATGTATTTGTACATAAGGGTTCTTTTTGTCTTTCTTTAATCTCTTTCATAGTAATGGTATCTCTAGGTGAAAAGATATATACAGTTTAATATCTTTTGAGACATAGCTCCAAATTGCTTTTCAGAATTGTTGGCCCAGTTTCACTGCTCCACCAACAATGCACTGATGTGCTGGTTTCCCCACAAATTCTCCAGTATTTATCATTTACCTTTTTAGTCAACTTTGTCAAACTCAAACCTGTGAGATGGAACCTCAGAATTGCTTTAATTTGCATTTCCCATTAATGATTTGTAGTATCTTTCATATGTCTGTTGTTACCTTGGAAATATTTATTCTTTTGAAAATTGCCTATTTATATCCTAGGACCAGTTGCTAGTTGGGGAATGTTCTTCTTATTATAAATTTGAATCATTTCTGTATATACCTTGGATAGCAAACCTTTATAAGAAACTTGCTGCAATTCCCCCACCTGCATCACTCCTAATTTTAACTCTTTTGGTTTTATTTGTACAAAAACTTATTACTTTTATATAATCAAAATTATCCATTTTATTTTATTGTGTGTTATTCTCCAATCTTGTTTGGTCATGAACTCTTCCCCATCCATAGATCAGAGTAATTTCTTCCCTGATCCTCTAATTTGTCTTTAATGTCATCCTTTATATTTAAGTACCTTTTTGGAGCTTATTTTAATATATGGTGTGAAATTTTGATATATAGCTGGTTTCTGCTAGATCATCTTCCAGTTTTTTAAAAAAAGTTTGCTTGTTTTTATTAACTTTTTTTTAAAAAAAGTTTACTGATCATCACAAAAACCCAGTAAATGCAACTAGAGATAAAACAAAATGTCCAACCAAAATCTAAGAACCCAGAGCTAAGGGGAGACGTGACACTGCACAGCACAGTGCACATATAGGGCAGATTGATGCGTGCATGCACCAGGTAGCTGTGGACAGAAATGGGGAAAAAGAGAGAGTGGGGGGAGTAAAAGGGGGAAGTGGTGAGGGGGAAGAGGACAGGTGTTATATTAACCACTGGACAGTAACAGTGTTAAGCAGATTGGCCTTCTTCCAAGTCTGGCTCTTATCAGCCAATTCTTTTCAGAAAGGTGGTCATAAGGATAAAGTTCATGGCTGCCATCAGTGGCTGGGTGTTGACAATGAAAAGCTGGATATTGTTGATCCTGTGATGTTTCTTCCTCCGACACAATTGATGAGTCAGAACCCACAATCGACATCCAAATCTGGCTTGCTGATAGTGGGAGACTGGTACATAAATTTATCCTTAATTACCTTTCTGAAAAGGTAATTTAAATTAAAAAATGAAATTAATCTAGACAAACAAAAGGTCAAGAATCTTAAGGGAAATCATATTTTTAAACAGGGTGAAGAAAAAAGGTCTACCATTACCAGATCTCAAATTATACTACAAAGCAGAAATCATCAATTTAAATTACCTTTTATTATTTTGATCTAGTTCTATAAAGTAACCCTTTGATAATTTGATATGACATTGAATAAGCAGATTGATTTAGTTAGTATTATCATTCTTATTATACTGGATCATCAAACTCTTGAGCAATGGATATTTCTCCAAATTACTTAGTTCTGCCTTTATTTGTGTTGAAAGTGCTTTTTTTTGTTTTTTTGGTATTTATATGGTTCCTGTGTTTGTCCTAGCAGGTAGACTCCCAGGTATTTTATACATTCTGTAGTTATTTAAAGCAGAATTTCTCCTGTCTCTTCCTGATAGGTTTTGTTGATAATATACCAAAATGCTGAAGATTTGTGTGCTTATTTTATATTCTATTACTTTATATTCTAGTTATTATTTCAATTAATTTTAGTTGACTGTGTAGAGTTCTTTAAGTAAAGTTTCATATCATCTTCAATAAGTGATCATTTTGTTTGCTCCGTGTTAATTCTCCCAATTTTTTTTTGAGAGAGTCAGTATTTCTAGCACTGTGTTAAATAATTGTGGTGATAATGGACGTCTTTGCTCCAACTTTGATCTTACTGGAAAGGCCTCTATTTTATCTCAATTACATATACTGCTGGCTCTTGGTTTTCAATAGATATTATTTATCA